ATATATAATCAAAAACTTAAACTTTTTAGTATAATGTATCATTATCTAGTTTTATTTTATTTTATTTTTTTAAATATTAATATTTTTTAATTTATTTAAAAATATTAATATTTTATAATATATAATTTGAGAAGCTATTCCCTCAGCAGGAAATAGTAATTAAATACCTGGGGTTAATTAGCCTTTGATTTTGACTGATTTTGGGAATAGAGATTGCAGGAAAATGACTATTCTTTGGACTATTTGACAACTAAACAAAGGAACAAATTCCTTGAAATAGAGGGAGAATGACTTGACTATTTCACCGAACCAAACATGTTAGAATACAGAGTATCTTGGTGTGCTGCTGGTGTGTTCTCACTGCTTTATATAATGGCATAGAATCTAGGCCTAGCTCTATCTACTTTCAGCAGAGACACGGACAACTCGCAAGCATGTACGTTTCTAACCAATCCTCAAGTCTTAATTTGACATCTTCGGTTGTGGATTGCTATCAGCTTCCACTATTTTAATTTTACCATCAACCTCTTCTTCTTTCTTAAAACAAGTTCCGTTTTCCTCGCTTATCCTGTTTGGTTTACAAGAACAAATTTATAAGAAAACAAGTTCAACCCTTATTCAGAAATGTTCATAATTGTAGATAGATAGATAGATAGATAGATAGGGAGAGAGAGATTGGCTGTGGACACAAACTACTCTTTTTCCCAATTTAATGGAGCTAACTTAACCCAAATTCAAGTAACGTATAATGATGATTGTTCTTACTTAAGTATGTTTGAATACATTTTTCTGACGTTTGTTCCCACAAAAATGGAGTGGAGGGCTGCAAGGCAATGCACCAAAACAAACAAATATATATGTGGTAGGCATGGAATGCCCACGTCTCAGCAGACAAAGAGACAGGGGAACCAATAATAGGACATATGTTATTGATACTATTGGTTGACAATCAGGCCTGAACTTGCCCTTAAATGGAGCCGAAAATTCACAGGTTCTCAACAGGGAAACCAACAACAGGACTCATCTCTGAAGCCAGTGACCGTAGCTCATCAACTTGTTCATTGCTTAGTCTCCACCCAAGGGCACCTGAGAATTCCTCAGCTTGTTCAGCATTTTTCGCTCCTGGGATTGGCACAACATTCTCCTGGGCTATTAACCAGTTAAGCACAACCTATAGAAAAACAAGCTCATTTCTTATAAGATCTCTGCACGCTTTAAAATGCTATATCCAGTAGTCACGACTCATGATTAAAGAGTATGATAAAAGAACAGTCTGCTACTACCTCATTTATAACAACTTCAAGACATGTATATAAATGAAAGTAACCTGGTGTCACACTTGTCTACCGAGGAGTCTACAAAACCTCTAATCAATATCAAATTAGGAAAACGCCATTAAAGAGGTCTCGAGGCTTGTGAAGGTTTGTGGTTTTTCTTGTCCTTGAATTCTAAGATGGCTGTAAAAGCAGTCTGAGAGGGAGGGGATTCAAGTCATCCACACATGTGATCTTAGTGCATGACTGTATATGCCTTTTGATGGAGAAATGGATCATGGAAGTCAAACATAATTTTAGAGAGGACAACTTTAGTTCCAATTTCTTGACCATATAAGGAGTAAACCTTTTCCACTGGATTAACTGTTTTTAGAACCCCTCCATTTGGTGTAGGTCGTTACCTTCTAGGTGATGAAGTTATACTAGATTGTAGAGTGTCCATGGGTGTAATTGAGCCCAGCTCACATCTTATGCACCGAAAAAAAAAAGAAAAGAAAAAGAAAAGTTCCACCAAAGCCTAATGCCTAAAAATTAACATCGCTAGCACATCAATGTTGAGTTGATAATGCAGGAGACCTTTTTCTAAATACTGTTAATATGCCAATATGCTTGAAGCAAACCTATTGACAGCTGTAAGCAGATATACTACCAAACAACAAGAACAAACCTGTGTTCGAGTTTTGCCATAGTTCTCTCCTATTTCCTTAATTCTGTTCAGGAGAGGTTGGAGCTGTGCATTTAAAAAGACCTTAGCAATAAGTTTTAAACTAATGTTGGGATAAGAAACACTCTAGAGACATACCTTAGTTAAAAACTCCGGAGTGTAAATCCTGGATCGAGGCCCAGTTGGTAGATTTTCAGGCGTATACTTTCCTGTAAGGGCACCTGCAAAGAAAGAACATGATATGGTACTCTCCTTCTGTTAAAAAGAATGTACGCCACAGTCGGTTTATGCTCCACATTGTCCATAAATTTGACATTATTTCTTGTTCCGAACTCTAGTGTTTACCTTTGTTTATTACTCCATCCCTTTTTGGTGGATAATTTAACTTGCACATGTACAAGCACTACAGTACTGATCAATATGTAGAATACAGACAGAGACATAAACAGGCACATGGGTTGTGTGTGCATGTGTGTTTGCATGCAAACATGTGCATACACACACACATACATACAAATATAGCGTACTGCCTTTGTTTGAAAAATGAACATTGTCGGAAGGTTGCAACTAAGTGATAAATTTGGGTTCAATCTGTGAACCTGATTCTTGCTACTGCACTGTAGTTTGAAAAACAATAAGAAACCATGTGCTGAGAGCAAACAAAAAAGATAAAAGGGGAAAAAGATAAAATCAAATTTTAAATTCTTGAAAATTTCAGTCAGAGTCCACAAGACAGGGTATGCCTATGTTATTCAGATGAAATATGAATTCATTTTCTAATTGTGGGTCAAATTGCTCAAGTTTTTCCAAGAATTGCATTCAAGACTCAAGGTCTTAAATATGATATGACCAAAAGAAATTACTTCTCCTAACATGCTTTTTCCTGTAGCTCTAGCATCAATCTCCTGACAGACATCAAAAGCTCACACATCAATAACTATAAAGAAGCAATTAAACAAAAGAATATGGATATTACCCTGCGCAATAGGACAATATGCAATCAAAGTGATCCCAAGTTCATCACATGCAGCCTTCACTCCATTCTGCTCGGGTGCCCTGTATATGAGACTGTAATTCACTTGGTTTGAAGCTAGAGGAATTCCTCTCTTCTTAAGCCTTTCATAAGCATCACGAAGTCGTCTCTCTGAAGTAGGGAATATCTTACGTTATGATAATTACAAATGTATAGGGAGGAATAAGAACCAAGTCATAATGATCAGAGTGAAGATTTGAATAAAAAGCAGTAAGTGGTTAAAGAAGATGAACTATTTATAGAGAATTTTGCATGGTTCAAAGTCAAACTATTGCACCAATCAGTCATTGACAGCAGAAAAATTACCATTGTAATTTGAGACACCAACAGCCTTCACAAGGCCCTGCTCCACAGCATCACCGAGACCATCAATATAACCTGAAAAATGGTTTTTCAGTGAACTCAGCCACTATTCAACATGATTGGGCAGCATAAACATCCAATTGTACTAGCTACATAAAGTATTTCTTCAACAAAATGGTGGCATTGCAAACAACCTTCATTTCCCCATACACCAGGCCTGAAAGTCAATAGGAAAAATAGTGATGAATTACTTTTTCAGAAATACTACTGATAAATCCTATAAAAGAAATGTGAGCACAGACCAATGGAGTTGATAAAGTTCTATTGATGAAACCCCAAGCCGACAAATGGAATCCTTGAGCGCATTAAGGACACTCTGACGACCAAACCTCCAAGGCAAAGCTGCAAACTTTGTTGCAACAGCAACTTCCGCATCTGGATACTTTTCTTTCCTTTCCTTTATAAATCTTTTACAAACAACAAAGTTTGTTAGAAGAATAACCAGGCAAATAAAAGAATAGCACAAGACGATTTTGCCTTCAGTGAGAGTTTAAAGTACAAATGTTGTCCTCTGTTAAATTCTAGAAACAGACCTTCCCAGCAGAGTTTCAGAATTCATGGCACCCAAGGACAGCTGAAAGAATGGAATCATTGATGACATTCTTCAAAAAAGAGAACATAAAGTAAATAAGCCAATAGAGAGATGATCTTGTCTTTTACCGCAGAGCCATAAACTTCAGCTGTATCGAAAAAGGTTATACCACGATCAACACTGGCATCAAAAGCTGCCTTAGCACCCTTGATCTTCCTATCTGCCTCCACAGCAAAGTACAAATCATTTAGATGTGAAAAAAGAACAATAAAAGCATAATACAGTCAGGTAGAATCAGAAATTTCTGCAACTAAAGCAGAGAAACTTAAGTTTGACTCAGGAAGTTCTCCACACAGCATTGTGCACTATGGCAGTTGCACAAATGGAATCTAACATCAACCCTTGTAATTGGAAAGAACACAATAATTCTAATCCATGAAATTTCTAAAGAACTCTTAACACATAGGAAGTGCTAATCTGGAAGGGAGCACAAATCTATAAACTTAACTAGAAAAAAAAAAAATCAACAATGCAACAGGATAGCTTATTACAACTTCAAATGGCAGTCTCATGTAGTAATTTTAAAAGTAAGGTAACACTGAGATAACTAGAAGGGGGAAAACGTTATGAAACAAAACAAGGCCTTTTTTCCCTTTGGTTCAGTTTCCTATATTCCTCTTTTTAATTTTTTTTCTTTTACTTTCTTTGTGGTGCATTTCCCATTAGGTACAGAGCTTCATTGACTAAACAAGTTATCCCTCAGCTTTGCTACAGAATAAGTAAGATAAGAGATTGAAAGGAACATTCTTTCAATAAAATAGGCTTTGAAGACAGCACTGGAGATTAAAATAATTTTAAACGCTCAACGACAAAGCAACATTTTACACTGAACCGTACACAAGCAAGAATTCATCGCCTATTCCAAATTTTTATGAGAATAAATTCAAGAGTTATGAAAAAGACCATCAAAACTAGTAGAAACAGAGCAACAAATCAACAAAAAAAAAAAAAAGAAAACGAAAAAGGAACACCCTTTCCCAAAAGAGAATCAAATTATGAGATGAAATGTGAAAAATTTACCATTCCATTCAAAGTTGTTCCAATAAGTGGTATCACCCCATGACCAAGCTCCAATTCCAAGCTTTGTCACTTTGAGCTCTGACCCTCCTAACTTCACCTTGTCTTCTGTTTTGAGAGTAACAGCGAAATCCTCAGAAGCAACAGCCCTTGTTCTTCTGTTAACTTTCTTGTAACTGAAAACTGAGAAACGTGCACTGCTAACACTCATGGCCATTGATTATCCCTTGGGGTTAAACACAAAATAAGATTTTATTTATTTTAGTGTGTTTTTTCCTCTGATGTCTATGGAAAGACGAGTGGTGAAGAAATATGGTGGATAGGGAAACAGAGAACCATGGAGGAGTTTTTGGTCTTCAGAATGGACACGTCGGATGAACCGTTTTTAGTAAGCGGGGAAAGATACATGCAACTCGTATGGCCATTGGTTGCCTCCCTCCGCAATTTGTAAGGGGAAAAACACATGCAACACGTATGACGTCTCCCTTCTCTTTTAAAAGCATTTTGTTACTAATTTTTTCCGCATCATCATCAATTTAAAATAAAGCTTGATAAATTTTTTTTATCAAATTCTTTATTAAAAAATTAAATAAGATTTAAAAATTAGGAAAATAAAAAGTTCAACGAGTCAATTTTATACTTAAGAATTATATGAGTGGGGTAATTAAATTAATATAATATCACCATAAAATCAAGTTTACTATATATGATTTTTAAATAATTACAATATTATTAGGGAAACAAGATAAGTGTAGAGATTTTCAAGAAGGAGTGTATTCAACAACGAAATTAATGCAAAAACAAATTACACATAAAAATAATATTTAACGTGATTTGACTTTCATTGCATATATTTACAAATGAGATAGAAAAAAACGCACGTAAATGTAAAAATTACAAAACTTATAAAACATAGAAAAATACGAAATTGAGCTTTGAAAAAAAAACGTAATTTCGATACTCTTTAGAGTTTAAACCCATGAAATATCTTTTATTATGCAATCCAACCCTATGTTTTCCCATACCTTTCTTCACATTTTTACAATTCTATGAATCCCTCATAGAAAAAAATCCATCTCTCATCATTCAAAAGGATAAGAATAACCTCATATTTATAAAGCTTATTACTTGGTCATAAAAAACCTCTACTTATTAAGAACTCTTACCTAATAAATATATATTATCACCAAGTAATTCACAATCAATAAAATTTCACTAAAATTCATATTGATTCTCAATTAGAATTTACAATAGACTTGGATTATTATATAGGTCTTAACAATCACATTCATAACAGATGTGGGATGTTGGGTATCACAATCCCACCCATTTAAATCCTTGATGTCCTGATCAATGTCACACATCATGGATTATTATATAGGTCTTAACAATCACATTCATAGCAGATGTGGGATGTTGGGTATCACAATCCGACATTTCCTTGATGTCCTCATCAATGTCACACATCACATCCATAGGTCTAAAATCTCACCAGAGCAATGTGAAAGCTCACATCAGACTGGAGCAGGCTGATACCATTTGTAACGACCCAAGTCCAACCACTAGCTTAGTAACTTTTTGAACCTAAATCACATAACCCTCAAAAACTTAAACTCAAGTTGCTAGTAGCAGTAGACTTGGATTATTATATAGGTTTTAACAATCACATTCATATCAGATGTGGGATGTTGGGTATCACAACATAATTGAATAAGTCTTGACTCCACCTGATTCACACAACACCACTAGTACTCACGTCTAGCTACTCAGTCAACTCATCGTGTTGACTTCATTGAGGAACCTTGATCTAACCTTTTTTAACAAAGAATAGTCTCTTACTTTATGTTGAATCAAGAGATAATATCAAGCAGCACCAATAATATGGTTTTTCAAGGAAAGGTTTGAGATCCTTGTCAAGTGTTTGAGTTGGCTAAGCTGAGAGTTTCTCAATAAACCAAGGTTAAGTGACCTGTTATGTGTTCTTTAATTGTTGATCATATCTATGTAAGTGTTACTAAAGGAAAATTGAGTGCCAACTCTTTTTGTACCTAGGTTAGGTTTCCTATGGGTTTCTTAAAATTTAATGTTGAAGGCGTCATTAGAGGCTACCTTGATATGGTTGATGTCATAAAACAGATGTTCAAGAAACATTAAGAAGAATATACCACTGTAAGGCATAGAACAAGAACAAAGTTAAAAAGAAAATAACTTTGTATATATTGATCATCATATTAATTAAAGAGAGATACAAGCATTTATACACAAAATGCATTAATAACACTTGTACAAAACCACCAAGTATTTAACATAAGATTAAAATTAAGATGCATGGCTTACACGTTTATAGACATGTAGCAGCAACATGGTTCTGGCTTACTAAACCAATACAACGAAGCAAAATGGACACATGTCCAATTCTTAGTTAAAACAATAAACAAGACTCAAGCTGGTTTTATCTCAACACTCCTCCTGAGCACTAGCTTGGTAAACATTAAGTTTGTTTCTCAACTCTTCAAACTTGGGCAAAGGTAATGGTTTGGTCAAAATATCTACAACTTGATCATTGGAGCTGTAATGTTGAATGGATATATCTTGATTTTTTTTAGTTTCTTTCAAGGCATGATATTTAACCTTGATATGTTTTGTTTTATTGTGAAAACTAAGATTCTTCATCATAGCAATAACAGACTTATTATCTACAAACAGTTGAGCTGGAGGCATATGAAGAAAACCAAGATCAACTAAGACTTTTCTCACCCAAATGGCTTGATTTGTAACTGTAACCATTGCAATATTCTTTACTTCTTTAGAGGATTGAGCAATTGTCTATTGCTTCTTTAAGTTCTAGCAAAAGAACCATTTCTAAGAGAAAACACATAACTTGAAGTGCCCTTGCAATCATCAAATCATCTTGCCCAATCATTGTCAGTGAAGCCAACTAAATCAACTGATTTTGCATCAAAATAAGTAGTGAAGGCCTAGATCAGATGTTCTTCTCAAATATCTAACAACTCTGTTAGCTGTTGTGAAATGTTTAGTGGTTGGAACTTACATAAATCTTGATAGATAGTTCACAGCAAACATCAAATCAGGCCTTGAAGTACATATATAAAGCAATGATCCTATCAAGCTTCTAAATGATGAAGGATTTTCAAGTTTGGATCCCTTATCAATTGACAGCTTCTCATGAGTAATAAGAAGAGTTCTTATAGTCTTGCAATCACTCATATTGAACTTGTTTAGAACTTCAATAATTTAGTTTGATTGAATTACATGGATCCCAGTATTATCTTGAAGAATCTGTAATCCTAGAAAATAGCTCATTTGTCCAAGACAATCATTTTGAATTTGTTTTGCATTTATGACTTGAGCTTTGTAATTCTTTCTACATTTCCTCTTGTAACTAACATATCATCTACATATAATGAGATGATTAATGGATTTTGGTCACCTATTTTCTATACATACAATGTAACTTCATTGCAGCTTTTCTGAAATCCTTGACTTCTCAAGTATTCATCAATCTTGCAATACCAGGCATGTGGTGTTTGCTTCAAACCATAAAGAGCTTTGTGAAACCTATATACCTTGTCTCTGATAGAGTCAGTTTCAAACCATAAGGCTGCTTAACAAAAATTTCCTCTTGCAAGTCACCATTCAAGAAAACAGATTTAATGTCTAAATGAAATATTTGCCATTTGAACATAGCTGACAATGCTATTAGTAATCGAATGGTATCCATTCTAGCAATTAGCATAAATGTCTCATGGTAGTCCACATCAAGCAACTGAGCAAAGCCTTTGACTACAAGTTTGGCTTTATGCTTTTTCAATGAACCATTAGAATTGAACTTCTTCCTAAACACAAACTTCACTCTAAGAATATAATGATGTTTTGGCCTATTAACTAAGCTCCATGTTTTATTAAGATTTATTGCAATAAGCTCTTCTTTCATGGCTTCAATCCATTCAGAAGATTTGAGTGCCTTTTCTGGTGTTGCAGGTTCATACAAAGCTATATTACAGCTTTCATAAATATCTTGTAATAATCGAGTGCCTTTCATAGGAGGCTCATTTACCAATTGTTCATTGTCAATCACTTCTTCACTGTTGGTAGGATGAAAATCAATATCCCCATTTGGAATCCTAATATACTACACTTGGTTAAGTTTTTAATTCCAGTAAGCTCTTTCATCAAATGATACATGTCTACTAATAGAAATTTTGCTTGAATCAATTTGATAAATTCTGTAAACCTTGGACTATTGACTATAACAAATAAAGATTCCCATCTTTGTCTTGGCTGTAACTAATCTTTGAGTTCTTAAGGCACATTTGATAGTATATAGACCCAAAAATCCTTAAATGATCAATAAAGGGCTTGATATTATGCTAGGCCTCATAAGGAGTTTTGTTGTTAACAACTTGAGTTATCAAGATATTCTGCAGATATACGGTAGTGCTAAATGCTTTAGCCTAGAAGCTCTTTAGAAGCATTTTCCCAAATAGAAGGCACTTGCACATCTCAACAATAGTTCTGTTCTTTCTTTCACTCACACCATTTTATTTAGGACAGTACAAAACAGTTAATTGATAAAGAATACCCTCATTTTCCAAATAACTTGTGAACTTTGAAAAAATATATTCTCCTCTATTATTTTTCCTTAAAGTCTTGATCTTACAACTATATTCATTCTCAACTTTAACTTTAAATTTCTGAAACACAAAAAATACTTCTGACTTGTGCTCAATCAAATAGATTGAAATGATTTTAAACATGTCATCAGTAAAAATAACAAAATATCTACTTCCACTTAGAGAAGGCTCACTCATAGGTCTAGCAACATTAGAGTGAACTAAATCTAGTCTATTAACTGCTTTATTCAGGCTCAATTTAGGAAAAGGCTTTTTAGTCAGTTTACCATGTTCATGCAATTTTGAAAGGTTCATCAACAAACCAGAGGCACTGGCTTGCAATAATGACTTATAATTGCAATGACCAAGCCTTTTGTTCTAGAAAATTGATTGTTTAGTTGATGACTTAATTGCAGATAAGTAAATGTTACTCTATTTTATAGGAAAATATCTCTTAACCATAGACATTGACATCAAATATTCACTTAAAGGCTCATGAATTGTGCATGCATGATTTTTAAGTAGCAACACATAATACTCATCAACCAGCTGACCCACACTCAAGAGATTTTAAGTTATTTCAAGAACTAAAAGCACATTAAGGGCATACTTGGTGCTTAAAATAGTTTGAATTGCAATTGTGCCTTTCCCTGTAGCTTGTAGTATATAACAATTTCTTATTTTTATTGAAGAATAATGATTAGTGTCGATTTCAGAAAATAATTCAACCTCTGAGGTCATGTGGTTTGAACATGCATTATCA